GTAATTCACGGAAAACTGGAACCTTGTTGGCCAGGGACGTTGGATTGCACAGCCCAAACAAGAGGCTGTCAGGTCCAGGGTTCTGAGCTTCACCAAATCGAATTGCGTGTCCAAGAACACGTCTGAACAACCTCCGTTGGCAATGAGGCTGAACAAGAGGACAAAAGGAAGTATCACATGCAACCACCATGGAGCAGCCGGTGGGAAGACACCCACAAGAAAGCCACAGTGAATTAAAGCTTGCCCGGCCCCATCACTCATTGCTCTCCTTGGGCTTCTTTCTGCCCAAGTTCTCTTGGAACATCTGCTGCAATGCGGCCAGTGTGCCATGAATCGCCTGATTCTCTGTCTTCATGGTCTTGATGACCGAGGCCTCAAGAGCTTGTGCAGTGTTCTGCAGCTGCATGGCAACTTCTTTCTGGCGCTCATCGAATCGAAGGCCAATAGAGTGAAAGCGATTCTGCATGTCATGGCTCTGCTGACGGATGTTCGTGTCAAGAGTCGAAATTTGCTTCTGGGTCTCTGTCTGGAAGCTGGAACTTGTCGCCTCAATCGATGCCAAACGTAACTCAAGAGCATGCAATTTCCCCTCCTGCTCCTTGAACTTAGTCTCTGTGGGTCCCGTGACTGTGCGGGCACTGCTGATGGCCGGCACTGAGCGTCCTTGCGTGGCCAAGTACTGAGCCCAAGGATCATTTGATGCAGGAACCGCAGCAGAAGCTCCAGTGGCTGTGACACTGAGTGTGACATCACCGGCCACCACTGGTGACTGGGAGGCTTTGAGCTTCGGTGGCAAAGCTTTGACAAGCACTGGTGAAGAGTTGAACAAAAGGATGCCCTCCGGGACAGCTTCCACACTGGCGATCAGCCAAGCGGTGGCGCCGATTTGGCGAATTGGCTGGATTGTCCATCGATATGCTTTGGCCCACTGCAGTAACATGTCCCTCGATGTGCCGTACGGCAATGGCTGCACCTTAAACCATGTGGCACCCTGCAAGTCGGGTGGGACTTCCTTCGAGGGGCAAATGATTTTCCAAGCCTCCGGGAAATCCTCTTGGCGAAAACGCAACCCCATCCCAGTGCGGCCTTCCACCAAACCAATACATCCGGAGGTCTGTTTGGACAACGTAGTGAGCCTTGGCAGGTCACCCTCAATCCACACAATGCGAAAGCGAAGGTCCTGACGGCCGCTCGCAGTCTTCGGGGTACAGAAAATCTTATTGAACCCGCTCGCTTGTAAGATTGTGATCAGGTGCTCTGGCAGGGTCGAACCATGTAATTGGACTGAGGTGGCTTGGGGCGCCGCAACTGCTTTTCCCCGGTTGCGTAGGGAGCGTCCCCATGTGGACAGGATCATCTGAACACACCCAGCTTGACTGAAGGCATTCACAATGAATGGTGTCGTCGCATCAAGGATTTGAGCCCACTCTTCAGAATTCCAATCTTCTCGCCACAGAGTAAAGGCGATGCTGCAGCAAGCCGGATTGGTAGTTTTGTGCACTCCATCCATACACCGAAGCTGTTTCTCTCCAAATTGGATGAGTGTCCCAGCAAGAATGATGGCATCACCTCCAGGAATTCCGCAGGGCACAGTGACCGAGTGGTGCTTCAGCGAGGTGTCAAGACTGGACTGAGTGACCACAATGATTCCCAGTTCATCCTTGGAAAGGACAGCATTCTCGCGGATCCACGGTAGGGCGGGTTCCAAATGAGCCAACATCACTCCAGAGGATTGTGGAACAAAAGATTGCATCTGGGTGGCCTCAGAGCCATCCTCATTGACAATGAACCCCTTCATGATGGTGACACCAGTAAGATCAATCTGAGGAGGTCGTTTCTTCTGAGCCTGGATCTGTCTGCAAGGTACTTCTCACAGCTCGGACAGACCACCAAAGCATGAACTGGGCAGGAGGAAGAGGAACAACCGAGCGAAGCTGTACTTTGATCATAAACGATCCCTCTTGAAGCGATTGAGAGATCTGCAGGTTGAAGGTGGCCCGACCCTCTGTGGTGAGGGCCTCATCCCAAAGAGTGGCCCAAATGGCACAGCCCCGATGCTCTCCCACACCATGGAGAATATGCATGTCAGCATCATGTTTCCAGTGATAGCCACAGTTGACGGATGTAGCATCTTGCAGGATCTGTTGGCTAGTGAGGCTGAGCTGAGCGTGACTCCAACCCTGCAGGGACAGGACCATCTCAGGGATGATGTGTGAACGGAGAGGCACCAACTCGAATTGATCATGCCAAAGCTTCTCCTGTTCGTCACTGGAAAGAAGAAGGAATACACCAGCCCTCAGGATCAACCTGATCAAACCTGGATGGATCCGACAGAGGAAAGAATCGATCTTGGTCTTCCAAGTTGTGCAGACTCTGATTCGTGTCTCAGTGCATGTTTCCACAAAGCTTGCAACGCATGCAGAGGAGTATTCTGCTCAACTTGGAACATCTTTGTGGCGCCCTCGAACAGAATTCTACACCTGAGAAGAACACGGATGGGTAGTGTCTGCTCCAGAGATTCATGCTTCGTGACCTGGATAGCATGAGGCGTCCATGGCTTCAAGCACGGGAGGTTCAAGACCGGATCACGATCATCTAAATAACCCTGCAAAGGAACCACACCCAGCTCAGGGGTCCAGAAGGTATTGCTTGGCAAATGATCAGAGCCTGATTGGAATAATAGCTGTTGAATCAAATCCTCGTGCAGCAAAAATCGGGCAGATTGATCCATCCACAATGTACCCGAGGGATATATCTCAGCATGCAGTCGGGAGGCTCGGAGTCGGTTCTTGTCAAAGAATTCCCAAACCTCTTCCCAATCAAGTCGGGAATCTCTGGATTCCAGCATGTTGATGCCCTGAACCAAAAGCCACAGAGCATGCGGGATTGCAATCTGATTGCCTAATCCTTTCCATTCCAGGGTCAAATCTTGTCCCAGCCAAAGGCCTCCCCAAGCTCCATGGATGAGAGCGACCTCCAAAGGGTGCCAAAACCGGAGTACGTCAGAATCTGCCGGTTGAAACCAGTGTGCAAAATAGCCCTTGGTGTCAAGGAGCTCCTGGTGCAGCTGGTGTTGTTTTCCATACTGAGCCATGAAGGTCGGAAGGCTGCAGCTCGTGGCCCGAAAGATGTGTGAATCATAGGCCTCCTCTTCTGTGTACCGGCGTTGACGCTTGGCACTCCGGTCCAGTGGGTGTTCCCGCGCTTGTTGCAAAGCCGTGGCTGGCACTTCAAGCTGACGAAGAACATCATGGGGCCATGGATGGATGCAGTCCAGTTCCAACACAGAGATCTTCCTCTCGATTGACCATGAGGAGATAGAGGACATCTGCAATCCGTCTTCGTGGATGAAATATGCAACCCCCAGCCATCTGAGTCTTCGTACAGGCATGACATCACCCAAATCAATCGCCCTTGAGAATCGAAGCTGGTATCCCGAGAACCAGAGGGCCTTCTCAATCCACATGCGGTGCGGGTGAGCATGAAAGCCAGCAACCTGCTCAATCAGGATGATCCTGGGTCGGAGGAGCTTGCAAAGACCGATGCTTCTCATGAAAAGTTGTCCCTCCGTGGTGTGAAGTCCCTTCTGGGAGGACGCCCCACTCCAAGGTGGACAGAGAGCACTGATGGTGACAATCTCAGGAGCCCAACACGCAACCGCCTGCATCCAGTTGCTGTCCATAACATCACCATGGATACACCAGCCTTCCTTGAAGGAACAGAGTGCCATAGGCGGAAGCTCACGTTCTGCAGACAGGAGTGGGCGCCTGTGAGACAAGGCATAGCTCCTGGCAGCCTGGAAATCAACCTCAATTGAACCGGCCATCCACCAAATGACCCACCGAACAAATGCAGGATATGGATCGGTCCCTCATCAGCTTTCGCCAAAGGAAGTATCAGGGTCTGGTTATCGATGGAGAGGTAGCCGCGAGTGTCAGGTCCAGGAAAATTCAGAGCAGCATTCCAAATCATGCATTTACCTGCAATTCCCTGAATGCACATATTATGTAAAGCACTCTTGTCATCTGCCTTCCAGTCGAAAGTGATGGTCTGTGGCATTGCGTCATCCGGGCCAACCCAAACGCTGTCAGCATCTAAGTACTTCAACCCCCTTCCACTGGCAGTCAGGTGATCAGCTTCCCACAGGAACAGGTCGTCAAATCTCTTGGGCACCAAGGTGTCAACCAGAAGCGAAGTTCGCTCGGAGATCCCACCGCCTGCATCTCCCCATAGGGCATACGATGAAAGGATCTCCCGGGCCGCTGCAGGTGCCAGCCTAGATCCTTCGTCCATGGCACCAAGAAGTATCAGGGCCCAGTCTGCGCCCCTTCCGCAGGGGCCCCGCCAACGCCCCGTGGAGGCCTGGGCCTAGATGGCTACTAGCGATGGCCTCCAACCTGACAGCGATGGCCTCCAACCTACTAGCAATGGCCTCCAACCTACTGGCGATGGCCTCCAACCTGGTAGCGATGGCCTCCAACCTATCAGCAATGGCCTCCAACCTGCTAGATATGGCCTCCAACCTAAGGGCGATGGCCTCCAACCTATTACAATGGCCTCCAACCTACTAGCGATGGCCTCCAACCTACCAGCGATGGCCTCCAACCTAATAGCGATGGCCTCCAACCTACTAGCGATGGCCTCCAACCTAATAGCGATGGCCTCCAACCTACTAGCAATGGCCTCCAACCTACTAGCGATGGCCTCCAACCTACTAGCG